TAAAGTGGAGGTCCATGATCGCCCACGCCAGTCGGCAAGGCACTGGATGATGATGATGATGATGATGGATCTGAGACAACTCTGGAGACATTGCTCAAGGAATCAGGCCGTCCCCAGCTTCGTTGGAAAAGCGATCGAAGTACTGCGCCTCTCCCCTCCCACCATCCTTGCGCCCGGCGACCAGACGTTTGATTGGAGGAGACAGCACAGAGCTGACGCGGCCCACTGCTGCTAGAACCATCTTCTCCAGTCCCAGGAACGGCGACTCAAAGGCCATGGAGGCGACAAACGATAGGAGGAACGACATGACGAGGATGGCCAAGTATGCGAAGGTCTGGGGATGATATCACAAGATAATGATAGTTATCTTCAATGATTGTAAATATTTTACCCCCCCCCTCAACTCACGAGCTTTAGTTTTAGTTTTAGTAAGAGTTTCACGGCCCTTGCAACACAATAAAGTCATAATATAAGTAGAGAAGAATAGAATGTGTTACCAGAGAGTTACGTACACGATACAGAACAAGGAGAGATAGGACGATAGATGTTTGATACCCCAGAGCATCCGCCAACCACCCACAACTCATAAGCACAAGTAAAACATAGTATAGTTTTAACGCCCCTATTAACACTATTAGGTTATTTAAGAGACGGGACCTCCGAGTTTAACGTCCATCTCCGAAAGGACCGAGTCAAATGGGAAATTCGAGTAAAGTGCCTTTCCCAAGTACACAAAGTTAGGACAAGCTAATACTCGAACCCCGAACCCGCAAGCTCACGATTATGAGTCCGGTAGCCTACCAACTACCTGTAGGCTCCCGAAGCCATGCATAAGTTAAAGAAATCATTCAGTAGCCTGTGTTGGCTGCTTCAACAATGCTCAGTAACAGTAAGACCACACCCAACTCGAGTAGGAATCGTTATCACAGCAGAAAGACTGACTAAGTTATTGTAGACATTTAGCGACCCCCCCCTCCCCTCGACACCAGTCAAGATCATTTAGGAGGCTGGCTGAGTCGACCACGATTACAAGTCAAGATCATTTAGGAGGCTGGCTGAGTCGACCACGATTACAAGTCAAGATCGTTTAGGAGGCTTGCTGATTCGACCACGATTACAAGTCAAGATCATTTAGGAGGCTGGCTGAGTCGACCACGATTACAAGTCAAGATCATTTAGGAGGCTGGCTGAGTCGACCACGATTACAAGTCAAGATCGTTTAGGAGGCTTGCTGATTCGACCACGATTACAAGTCAAGATCATTTAGGAGGCTGGCTGAGTCG